TTTTTTTTTTCAATTTGGGGTAAAAATTAGAGAGAAATTTGATTCTCCTTTATGTTGTCATAAATTAGTAGGGTCATGCTACATGTACAACTAGCGTTGACAACATTAGTTGACAATACTAGTTATCACAATCATTGAACAAATCTTAGCCACACATTTTTTTGGATCTCAATTATCTACATGATGACACATCATGTTGTACAAAATAATTGTACAAAATAATTGTACAAGTAGCTTTATTCAATTAAGTATTTGATATCTCTCATCGTAACTTACATATCATCTACAGATAATATATAAATAATTATATATAAAAGTTAAAATATAATAGAACCGTGATTTTGCAGCCAATTTTTTTTTTTTTGATCGTTAAATGTAAATATATAGATCAAAACCGGTTCATACAATTGGTCAACGGCATATAAAAGCGTAATGTACAACCACAAGTCGGTTCCTCATTCGCATGGTGAAGATATCGGAGGACAATCACAGGTCGGTTGTTCACTCAAATGTCACGGAAACAAAATGCAAAGAGAGACCCAAGGGAGCTCGGCATCACATAAGATCGGTGGTCCTCACATTGGGCACACAATGGCATGCATGGAGTAGGCCATGCATCAAGATTCGTGCTGCAAGTCAGGCCTAGCGGCGCTAAGCAACGTGGCGCATTGTCGCGCGCCGAGAAAATCCCGTCTGGGTTAGCGCTGGCGCTAAGAGTGTCGTGGCACGCGCAAAGCGGGTCGAGCCTAGCGGCGCTGTGAGGAACTAGTGGCGCTAGTCGAATATGAAGTGCAGCCTCTGTTGGTCGCTAAGCCCTCTAGCGGCACTATGCAAGGTTAGCGCCGCTAGTACCTAGAGCAGGTCACCCGGGCTATTTCTTTCCTCCTCGCTAAGTCGTGAAGCGGCGCTAGGCCCCCAGTTAATGGCGCTAGGCCCAGGGTAGCGTCGCTAGGCCCTTGTTAGCGGCGCTAGCACCTGGGCAGAGTCTGTTCAGCGAAAAATTCCCCCTCCCAAACGACCATTCACCAAGGCAATCCGGCCACCTCAAAACCTCAACAATCAAGCACTAAAAATGACTCTCAGAGCCCAAGTTGCCTCCTCTCAAATTCTACAAACACATTTGGGTAAGTAGCAGATATAGTTCGATAGACATGGGTTTTTACCTTGCGAATAACAAGACTCGGGCCTTGGTATTCACTCTCAAACACCAACCGATTCCTAGCATTCCAAATGAAGTACACGGTAGCCGCAAGCGCCGCTTTCTTCAATTTGGTTGCCAACCGCTCCCTTTCGCCTCCTTTTGATCCATTTGAGAGATCCTTTGAGTATGGACGGCCTATGCCGGAGGCTAATCCAAGTACGAATCTCCCCCCAAATCTCCGAGCTAAAGGTACATTCAAAGAATACGTGGCTCGAAGATTTATTCACAACTCCGCATAGAGGGCATAACGGCCTTCATCAAGGAACTCAAGACGATCTTTTGTCTGGAGTCGATTAAGCACTCCAAGCCTTATAATGAAGGAGTGCTTAGGAGTATTGCAAGCCCCCCAAACAACCCCACTCCATGGCCTCGTGGGTCATCTAGGTCGTAGGGCGTCATAGCACTTACTAGACCCGTCTTGTCTATCTCGAGAGTTCCAACCTCGAAGAAGGGCTTCCGCTCCTCGTTCACTCCACGCTCTTTCAACCAAGCATTGTCGGATTTCGACGAGGGACTTGAAGAGAGGTGAGCGTTCGGTTTAACTTCCCAATTCTAAATGGAGCTCCCCTTCAAATAGATGCTATGGATCCATTTGTGCCACAAGGTATCCTTCTTTGCTTGTATGTTCCAAAGTGTCCGGGTGAGCAACGTTTGGTTCCACCCATTCAAATTCCTAAGCCCCAAACCACCTTCCAAGCGCGGTAGACATACACTATCCCAAGCCACAGGAGCGCTCTTTGATCCCTAAAGGAATCTTCTACATAGTTGAGTGATTTTTTTTCAAACTATACTGGGCAAGTGAAAGATTCTCATCCAAAAGCACACAATACCTTGGATCACCGAGCGTAGGAGTTCCATTCTTTCGGCATAGGAAAGAGTGTGCCCATTCCACCTACTAAGTTGCCCTTCAATTTGCTCAATCATATCATCGAAGAGCCTAGCCGTGATTAGGTTCCCGGAGAGGGGGACGTCGAGATATCGAAAGGGCATTGATCCGCACCGCAAGTTGGTATTGTCGAGGATTGTAGCCCGACTATCGTCCTTGACACCGGCTAAGTATATATTGGACTTTAGCATGTTCATCTCAATCCACGACTTGGCTCCAAAATCCTTGAGGCAATCCATGAGAATTTGAATTGACTCCGGGTCCCCACGAGATAGAAGCATGAGGTTGTCGGCGAAGGCAAGGTGAGAGATTTTTAATTGTTCGCACATCGAATGGTATTTGAAGTTCGTGCCGACTGCCGTTTTGCTCTTGATAAGCCGAGTAAAGTATTCCATACACATCACAAATAGGTAGGGCGATATGAGGTCCCCTTGCCTTAGACCACGACCGCCTTTGGCCCTTGAGGCTCCCGTTGATAGATATAGAGTAGGACGAAGTAGTGACAGTGGCCCGAGTTGGCCAGGACACTCACGTCATGTAACTGGGTTGTTTAGGCGCTGGGCTGTTTAGGCGGACCTATTAGCCCGTAGACAAAACGGGCGGGTTGATGGACCAGGCCATATTAGAAAAATAAAAAATAAAAAAATCACTCTCGATGGTTTCATTCGGAAGACTGATTTCAGGCTTTCTGCATCTCACCTGCTACTCCTCCCGCCGATCACCTCCGGCAACGCCTGCTCCCCCGTCAACTATCGCCACTCAATCTTTTCGCCCGTTATTCAGGTAAAGTGTCCATTTCTTTTGTGCTCCGCCAGTTACGCTTCCTCTGCGCCACCTCCGCCGCCAACCATCGCCAACGGCGGCTCCTCCACCAGACCTTACTACCCCTCGAACAAATCCCCCTCTTGCAGCCACCCCTGATTGCAAATATGACTTAAAAAAACCATCTAAAGAATTAAATACCAAAATAAGGTTGGGCAGAGAGCAGCCCTTCTTCCTAACTGTCCATTTTCGTTCCAAGGGAAGATAAACAGCTCGAACCCTCAACAAAGGACTGCTCAGAACAAAATTTGCGAGATATCTCAAATATTCTGCTCGTCGAAATCAATTGTTTGGTGCTGATTTTTTTTTCCTTTTTCATTTCCTCCGCCGCCGTCGGCGGTAAACCAACCCTTTTGTGTTGGATAATGAGATGCAAAATATCTTCATTAATATATTTTTGCAATGACTGGTTAATTTTGTTTATTCCTAATCATTTTTTGTTGTTTTCAGTGGGTTGCATTGGTAGGGGCATTCTGTCAAACACTTTGTGTTCCATTTACAAACTCCCGCCATGGATGGTAAACCTCTCTCTTTCTTCCTCTTCCTAATATCTCTCGCGATACGTGTGTGTGCGTGTCGATTTATGAAATTATATCTGCTCTGTTCATCAGTTTAATAGAGTAGATTGTGGAAACTGCGAATAATTCGATTTATAAAACTATCTTTGTTTTGTTCTTGTGAGGACATATGCAGTCTAATAGCTTTTGACAATATAGAAATTATGTAGAATCTGTGTTTTTCTTGCAAAAATTGTCTTGGCATAATTTGATTTTTGTTATGTTTCTTACGTGATTTAGTGGATTCGAAGCCGATGATGGAGGAGACCATTTTAGTGGGCGATGATCTGATGATGGGCCCACCGTCACCACTCATCCCACCGGAAATAGCATCCCACGTGCTCGAGGGCGTAGACTTGTGTGATGGAATTTTACGTAATCTCTTCCTCTGTAAGTCTTTCGTGTCCGAAACTTGGATTATCTTTCGCATCAGATGTTTTAGGAAACACAAAAATGCCCGTTCATATTTTTAATTGATCATTTTCATGACAGGCTTGCAGATTAACGACATCGAGCCTTTCTGTCAAGATGAGATTGCATTGTATCGGCACTGTGCAGAGAGGAGGGTGAGTTTTTGAAGATGAATTGTATGCTAGCTTATTATATCTCTCTCTCTTTAGTTTCTATTACTTTAATCTTTATTATTGTCCATAAAAAAGTGTGTTCATTTTTGGGAGGGTTTAAGGATAAGGAACTAAGAGAGAGGCTTCAGGATAGTGAGAGGAAGTTAGGGATGTCTATGCCGTTGGAGCTAGCAAAGGAAAGATCAAGTCAATTGGAAGCTGAGACCACACAGTTGGAAAGGTACTCCACCTGACCATGAGTACTACTGTTTTTGGCAAATCTTGAGTTTCTTTGACCGGCTACAGATATTGTGAACTCTAGGATTAATTAGCATGATTCTTTCATTTTCTTGACGAGTTACTATTTTTACCATGCTAATTTGAATTTCATGGTAAATTTGAAATTTTTTTATATTCTTCCTTACGACAATCTCTGAAGAGTCAGTCTCACACATGCTCCATTTTACCTCCATAAGCAATATGCAACTGTGTTTGAAATGTTGCAAGCATAGTTGATCTGATTCCGTGTTAAATTTACTAAAAAGTGCTAAATTCTTGAAGACGCTTGATTTTGGCGAGTGGAGTTGAAGGCATGGAAGGATTCAGACAGAGATGGAGCCTCCATGGTCGTCTTACTGATTCAAAGTAAATGCCCCGTGATCCGTGTATACACTTTTCATTTGACTCGTGATCTGGTGTTCATATGCCAATCTACAATTTATATGTTTTTCTTAAGTCCATGATATCGTGCATACTGTTGTTTGTGTTTGTCGTGTAGGAGTCGGTTGGTAGCCCTGAAGCAAGGTATGGATAGCAGAAAGAAAGATGGACAAGATGAACAAGCTGGAGAGTCTACTACCAAGAAAAGATGGTTTTTCTGGTGAAAGATGGAATTTTTCCTCTTTGTGTAGAACCATCAACCATTTAGTCTTTTGCAGTTTTATGTTTGGGGAATTAATACAATATCTTGCTCCTACATCAGTATTGATCAGAATTTTTCATTCTTTTTAAGTTACTAGTATTTATACCCACGTACAATATGGGTGTTGAGTTAATGAATATATGTGTAAAGTTATTTATGTCTAATACCAAACCTAATTCCAGAGCAAAAATAATATAAAAACAACATCACGAAGCATATATTTTCGCCATGTCAGCATTTGAAGCGTGAGAATCTGCCACTTAGGCTCAACACGTTTTGAAATAATATATAGGGAGGGATATCATGTGATGTATGCAATCAACACAAACTTCTTGGATGGAAGGTGAGACTGTAAAGCAGCACAAAGCCATTTTCACTACTCAAACCTCTCATTTTTTTTTCTCTTTCCAATTTACTCAATACAAGTTTCAAAACAAAATTCAATTATTACTATACCTCTATAAATTTTACCATTCATTCAATTACCTATTTCAAATTACCAATAGTTCTTTCACGCAATCTTAGTTATTTTGTTTTCATTTTACATAATTAAAATATTTAATCTTGTTCCAGATCTGCTTTCTCGAATCAAACCTATGTCGTTTTATCGATTGGCATGTTAATCAGGTGACCGGAAAAATGATCACTACACCAAACACCACTCGAAATTTACGATTGATGTGTACGAAGTAAATCAGTTAGTGAAGAATATTCGTACAAGTAGGCATACCTCTTAGATCCATTTAGATCTGTAAGACCATAACCTGATCGATGGGTAGATCCATCAAACCTGTTGATCTTGTTATATTGTTTTATCATGAACACCAATATATTTATGACAAAATGAAAATTGTGAAGTTAAAATTTCTGTACTTGTAATGTTGCATGTCAATGATCCATGAGAACAAAGTCAAACATACCCAGAAAAACTGATACTTGCAAAACATGCAACTATGAGTTGATCAAATATAAACAACAGGGATCAAACTATGAAGTTGGTTTCTCACGCACGCCTGTATTCGTCCCCACAGTCGCCAATTATTTTCATGAGATCTTTGCCTTTCTTTGAAACCTCTAAAATGCTGTTCATGTCATCCTCATCAAGAACAAGGGAAAATATAGCATTGGCATCTTTGATGTGTTCCGAAAGGCCAAGCCTAACACCTATCATTGAACCCGCCACTGCGTGCTGCATAATATTGCAAACTGGTTTTAGCAAAATGCATTAGTTGATACAGAAACTACTCTTAAAATATGATACAATCTACACAAAGACCCAATTATCATCGACGACTACAAATACGACTTTGCAGTTATACGGACACATACAAGGGAGTATTTAAAATTTAAAAAGATTGTTGAAATTTTTTCATAGTTAGAATAAAGCTCAAGGGAAGTTCTGTATGGATAGTAGCCACATAGCAATATGGCTCCATGGCCATCTAGTCTTATAGTATACTACCTGTAAGTAACCTATGAACTTTATGATGGACTTACTTGATTCAAGATGTATCTGACAGCAACTGTGGGAATTGAGACCAAATGTTTGGAAGCTACTTTTTTCAGGGTCTGAAGCAAAACTTGGAAAAGAGACCATCCTCCCCAAGCATCAACCATCTACATTTTTTTCATTTAAAATATACAACGTTCATCAGCAACTATATAAATAACAGTTCAATTTTGTAGCGATGCACAAAATCCTTGCTCAAAGTTGCTTCAAATCAAGAATCTTTAAGGCAATACCAGTGAAGCACGCTGAAAAGCCAAAAGATAATCTAGGAATGTTCAGAAATCAACTTTCTAAACACAGCTATGAATAGAAAATATAACTCCCTGATTAAATAAGAGAAAGGACCATGCTTTTTTTTTTTTTTTGCAGTATATTATCATGATACTGACGCATAGAGTATTTTACATATAATTGGATTTCAGAAAATAGTGAAAGGTAGACATTGCTTGTGGTTTTATGCTCTGTCCACTATGGAGTCTTACCCTTTTGTACTTCTGCAGTGAAGGTGTATTTAGCGGAGGGCCAGCAAAAGGGATCGTTAAATTGGTATCAAGAAACTTTTCGGATAATAGTCCACCCATCACAGTTCCATACCTGTGTACAAAGTCTTGTAAGGCATATATAAGGTGTGTGTGTGTGTGTGCATGTGCGTGTGTGTGTGTGTGTGTGTGTGTGTGTGTGAGAGAGAGAGAGAGAGAGAGAGAGAGAGAGAGAGAGAGAGAGAGAGAGACGTTATGAGTTTAACTCCTTTGAGCTCACAAAGCTCCACCATCCTCTCTTGGGGACGCATGTCGACTATTGAATGTTGTACCTGAAACATAAAGAAATTTAGGAACACAGCTAAACTATAACTGACCTAAAACAATCAACAAATTTTTCTTACCTGATTGCTAACAACTGGAATCCCATTTTCAAGAATCTTATGCAACCTCTCCGTGTCAAAGTTAGTCAAGGCAACTGTCTTAATCTTGCCTGTATGTCAAATGCTGAATCCAGTCTGATCAAGATATTTGGATTTCATTATTATAATTTTGCAAACAAATGGATACGTAAAAACCTTCTTCCTTCAAGTCCGTTAGGTGTTTAAGGGCATCAAGGTAACCAGGATTAGAATAGTCCCACCTGGTTGATACATGATTATAAAGTTCAGCACCAAATAATAGTTTATCTGTGAAATCTCAGAAAATGAAGGAAAAATAAAAGGTTCATTGGAAACATCAAGAATTGGAAGTATAGTTTTCATCACAGCCATAATAGGTCTAACAGGCTCGACAAAAGTTTTACAATCTTGTATTATTACACGCTTAGCAAACCAAAATCTATGTTATTCTATAATATCCACCTTTGAGAATGGGATACAATTTTTTTTGTTGAATTATTATTCAAACTAACAATGTTCCTTGCAAATTTTGATTGGTTCCATGTTTTCAGTTTTAATCCGAAGTTTTCATTTACCTTACAATAACAAACAAGGCCAAAAACTTCTCAACCACATATTTATCTAATTGCAATCGAGATGCTTTCTCTATTTGAAAATTTAGAGACAGGGAAATGTATAAAGCAGTTACCAATGAAATTGAAGCATGTCTAAAGCAGCAACATCCATTCTCTTCCGAGAAACATTAATGCTCTCGCGGACAAAGCTGCTAGTCATCTTGACTGGTGGAGGAACCCATTTAGTAAGCCTACATTGCATAAGGAATAAAAATCACACCATAATTAGCAGTCATAGAAAAAATCCATAACTTCATTCTTAATACCGAAACAACTGGGTTTCACGCACGTACCCCCTGACATTTTCAAGATACTCAGGAGGGCGCTCTCTACGCACTCTGTTTATGAAGATACCATAAAGATCTTCCGCAGGTCCATCTATCAAACAAAATATACCAAATAATAGAAAACATGAAGACGTAGGTTTTCGTGCATCATGCTTCGAGGTACATCATCCTATATAAAGACTAGCTCCACCCATTAACCAAATGTATTCTTATCCATATTAGCCCATATAAAGAAAGAAAGATAGAAAAGTGAAGAAAAAACGAGAGTATGAACAAAGCACAACATAGTTTTGAAATTAAAAATACCCTTTAATATCAAAACACACTCCTTAACGTTTGGACTTACACAACAAGTACCAGTATCTTATGGTTGCAACTTGAATAATAGAACTTGTAAAATGGAAACAAAAAATAATTACTCCTTACCGGTTAAACATTAGTTTCTGTGAGCAAGGCACATAAATGAAAATAATCAAGAAATGTCGCTAAATCATTGTCCTAGAGGAGGTGTTTACATATATCAGCCAAATCAAAAGTATTAAACCCAGCATCAGAATATCGAAGCATGGCTTGGACCGCATTGTCTCGCTCGATCATACCCCAACCGCCACTCGTCTGCCACATCCCATTAACAACTCTGCAAATGTCGAGCGAGTCTTTTCCGCTCTTCACTTCAATTCTCTGCTTATTATCATTAGGCAGCGAGCACACGACTGGCCTTGCGACCACTTTGTTCGTCTCATTTACTCTACCGTACTTAGAACACTTCTCGATTGCTTTAAGGGTTAACAAATTCCACGAGGTTTTCAAAATTTCTGCCATTAGCAGGCAGAGAGTAGAGAGCCTACTGCAACTGGCTTTATTTTATCCTATCAGTTTGTATGTTCCACACTTCCACTGCCCAGCCTTAAATTATCTACCATATATTTTATACTATTGTAATTGTCCGTTTTACCGCTGACATTTATTGTATTTGTTTTTAACATCTCAAAGGGCTGAGGGTGGAGAAGTAAATTACATACAGTGGTCGGCCAAGTCGAATGTGGAGAGACCGGCGTCGGCGTACCGGAGCATGGCCTCAACGGCGTCGTCTCGGTCGATTCTACCCCAGCCGCCGCTGGTCTGCCACATCCCGTTGAGCACTCTGCATATCTCGAGCGAGTCATTTCCGTTCTTCACCACCGTTTTCCGCGCCTCCGCCGCAACCTCAACAGCTGTCTCGCAGCAGCGTACGGCTCGCCAGTTTGCTCTCTTTGACCACCGGAATCCACCACTGCCGGTGGTTTGGGGACGAAAGCTGTGCGAATTTGAAATAAATTGGTGAACTGTTATAGCAGTAGCTGCCATTGTCAGACCTTTTACATTCGCCGGGTGTTATTTCTGGTGGCTAACATCATTTTAATTTGGGGAAAGGTCGTTTTATTATGTTGATAAGGGTTCATTTTAAGCACATATCGGTTTTGTACCGTCAAATCAATACAAGCCTCGGTTCGGTCATGTTAGTGTATAAAAATTTCGGTGCGATTCCGTTATGTTAGTGTAAAAAATTTCGGTTCCGTTTCGATTCATTTTCTTTTTTCAAATTATGGTGCGGTTCGGTTATTTTTTGTCAAGTTCGATTTTCGGTTTTTACAGTTCGGTGCGGTTTTTCACCGAATCGCATCGTTGCTCACCCTACCTAGGTGTAATGATGTTAAATTAAGCTTGGCTCGAGCTCGGGCTCGGACTCAGGCTCGAGCTCGAGCTTATTTAAAACTCATTTGGTTAACGAGTCGAGCTCGACTCGATTCTGAAACTCGTTAAAATTCGAAAAAGAATTTACATATAATTTTTTATTGTTTAACTCATTAAAACTCGAGATCGACGCGTTAAAGTTCTAACTCGGCTCATTAATAGTAATAAACGAGTCGAGCTCGAGCTCAATTTCTGACTCCTTTATTTAACAAGTCGAGCTCGGCTCGACTCATTAAGGGTTGCAGCTCGATATCAAGCTTGAGCTCGACTCGACATATTTGCAGGCCTACCTAGATGTCAAGGGATGCCACCTCGTCAGGCACCAAATCCTTGTGCGGGTCGGCTTGCGAGCCGTCCCGCGACAACCTTCAACCGCTCAACATGCTCAAACCCTTAAGATAGGACGATAAGTTTATTTTGGTAGTTTTGCAAATAAACTCGTTGAAATTTTTATTTCAGCAGATTTATTGACTAATTTTACAAAATACTTTTATCATATCAACTAGTCAGTCATATGCTATTAGCTATAAGTTTGAATTTTACTTATAAACTATCTATTAGCTAGCTTATGAGCTATATGTTAGTTTTAACAAACATAGTCATTGTAAATGATATATTGTTGTACATAGGTTTCATTGTGCATTTCCCAGCTTTCGAATGGTCACTAGCGTGTGACCATGTTTCGTCATTAAGCCCCATTGGGGAATAGGTTTTAAAACGAGTTTGTAATTGCATTCGAGGCCCCCATTACAAAAAAATTGTTATATTCTAACGGAAAATCCTATAATAATATATTCTAATGGAAATTCCAATGGTATAACTTATGTTGGAATGTGTTTTTCATTTGAATTTTAAATAGAATTTGATGATTCCAACGGCTATATTTTTAATGGCTTTTTTACCGTTGGAATACACTATTTTTGTTTGAATTTTTATTTCCACCCCCGTTGGAAAATCTACCGTTGGAATCGTCAAAATTCAACAGAAATCCCAATGGATAATTCATTCCAACGAAATATTTTTGTTGGAATTTCCATTGGAATCCATTGAAAAATTCAAATAGAAATAATAACATTGAAATATATATACATTGAAATTGTCGTTGGAATAATTATGTTTGAATATATTTCCGTTGGAATTTCATAATTTTCTTGTAGTGCCCCTCTCCCAAACTTTAAGTAATCGTTTGGCTAATCAATACTACTAGTATTCGACCCTGTGCATTTGCACAGATGTAAATAAAGTATTGTGGGTTATTTGTATGCATATAATGATTAATTATTTTTCTTTCACTTTTTTGCATGCCAAATTTACAAATAAAGAAGTTGAAATATTTACTTTTTTTTTAAATTGCGTTTATCTGATTGGATGTAATGTATATTTTAGTACGTCTTTTTTTTTGAATTATTTATTATTTATTTAGGAATTTCAAATACGTTTTTAATTTTCAAAAAAAAAAAAATAATTTAAATGTATCACAATAATAACATATAATCACATTATACGATCAACACATTATATGGTCAACTGTCACTAATAAAAAGTTTAAAATGATTTTTGTAATTTGAAGTGATTAGTATTTATTATTTAATAATCAAATGAAAGATTAAATACATAAAAAAGTAACGGTTTTTGGAGGGAAAAATATTAAATTGCCACATAGGTAAAATTAATTAAGTTTTATTAAATGCTATTGACCAGTAATTATATATATATAGATTCGAGTTCCAATTCAAATCTTTGTGTTCTGTTGCGCCAGTATAAGCGCTCTGGGCTTGATTGCGATCAGTACAAACTTCGAGCTCAGGCGGAACATAGTCAAAGGATTCGATTGCCAGTCGCACGATGTGTGATCTTTGCCAATTTTAACCACTATCATGTTAGCTTCGAGCATATACAATTATGCTATATTTTCATTAAAAAAAACTAAAAATAAAAAAATCTTGAAAGATGATTTTCAGAAGTAATTATTTTCCTTAAGTAAAAATTTGAAAATATATCTATACTTATATTAAAAGCTATACTATTTACTAAATGTAGTATGTAGAAAAGTCAACTCTAATTAATGATTTGCTATTTTTATCAAGCATTTAATTAATACATCTAATATTTTTGGTATGCAAATCAAATTAGCATTTAATTAGTTCCTAAAATATTGGGTATGCAATATTAATTTAGGAATATCTATTGATGTGGTCGTTAGTAGCGGCTCACTAAGGACCGGTTGTGATCCGGGTTCTAGTCGCACTCAGCCGGGTGGTCCTAT